CCATTTTCATAATTTCATACTTTTTTTGCAATGAAAGACTTGCACACATACATAACAGCACTGGGTAGAAAAAAAGCTTTGCAAAACAAATTTGAAACCTGCAGAAATAGCATTATTTTAAGAATTTTAAAAAGTAACTTTACATATTGAAAGACTGTTGGCAAAAAGCTTGATTTGGTAATTTTCTACCATGTATCAATCCAGAATTATTTACATACTCTTTGAAAGAAGATTGCAAGTGCACTGTGAAATGAATGAGTGCGCAAAAACCTAAAGATTAAAAGCAGCCACAGTGCCCATTCCTGACCTATTCTTCAAACGTAAATCTCTCTATTATTTCAAAATCTTCATTTGCCACACTAAACCACTTTCACATTTTGGTGATTAAAGCTCAAATCTGTTTTTGTAACTAAAGCTCAAAAAGGTACACAAAGTCAGATGAAGCCACAAAATACACGCAAACCGATTCTTACAAGTTGAAAATAACTATGTGTATTTTTTTGCATAACACAATTATCATCTGGTTAGGCAACCTCTTTGCCCAGTTTTGGTCCAGTGGGATTTGAACTGGCCAAAGTATGTACCCTAAAGATGGAAGTTATCAGCACAAAGCAAAACTACTATACAACAGCAGGTACTAAGATCTTCTGCCAAGCAAAATGCTTGTTTCGGGGAAAAAAGTAGTATACATGCTAAATAAATCCTCTCAAGGACGGATATCTATCATTTCAAAAATTTTCCTGTGAAACACTGCATTCAAACTGCCCCAAATGTAAAATCATATGTACTGAGAACGCTCCTTCCAGGGATTGCCAGAAGAGCATCTGATACTATTAAAAATATTTTAATGTTCTGTAACTTAAAACAGAGTAACTGATTTGCACTACTTTTTGTTTCAGAATATACATCTGGGCTGGCAATTTATACAACAGGTTTCAGCTTGAAGCTATTTAAAACAGCTGAGTTATAAACTCTGAAAATTGGGGTTTGGAGTGGAAATGCTGACAGACCCTTAACTACTGTGGTGCTACTGGGGGGAGGTCTTAGGCTTCACGTCCGTTATTTAAACCCTGCCTTTAGGTCCACCAAGACTCTGACACCCTCTGCATCATACAAAAGCCACATGTCACATCTAACGTGGCAATTTGGGTCTTTATGGCTTTCAGTAAAAACTCCCAGGCAGACACATAAACAGAGGGGCAAACCCTGACAAATCTACTCAAATAAAGTACTGCTGGCTATTAAGACATGAATATGGTCTGGACCTGGGTGCACAATATCCATTTATTTTATGCTGGAATATTAATAGATAGCTAGAACTAAATTAATAGGTACGCGTCTACTACTCTTCCCCATAAAACCAGTCCGCATTAACAATCTTACTAGTACACTCAACAGGGACTCCCTCCCCAGTACGTGTAAATATTAATACTTAAAATCCAATCTAATACTAAGCCAACATTATTTCAAAAAATTATAATCAAACCAGCACTGTTTATAACACACTTCCTCTCCTGCATATGATTTATATCTGTTTTTCTAAATTAAAACAGTGCTATATCCAGAGTACTTTTTAACTAGAGACCTCTGCGAAAGAATTATGACACACTTAACACACCACTCAAAACATCATCATCATATTATTATTTATTGCCAATAAAACTTCAAAAAGTGTGTAGTCTGTGAGCTATTTTACTTTCAAGTTACAGTTTAGCTGAGATTTCTATAGCCCAAATCTGTCTTTTTTTTCCTTTGCAGAGATAATTCACATTCGATTCTACCATATTCAAGTGTTTCACTGTATGATTCACGCAGCTTCTTTGGTGCAAAAGCACTGGGCAGCCGTATGCAAGTTACATTTAGAAAAATGAAATTGTTTTTTAAAATGCTCAAAATTAATTCAACTGAGTTTCAAATTAATTTGCCAGTAAATGAGGAAGCAAGTATATTCAGCATGTAAAAAGTATGCATTGCATCTGTGGAAACACAGATGTACCCAAAGCCAAAGAGTGCCAGGGGCAAGGTGCACTCCTGATGTACCAGTAAGTTGATCAGATCTACACCTTCCTGTCAGCCATCACCTATAGGACTTAAACATAAGACATATATAAATGTACATATAGGAACACAAAAAGCTTTGGAAATGTACTAATCACTTTTCTATCCTTTCATCACATGCAAGTATTCCTATTGTAATAATGTTCTAACGAGCTTAATATTTACTTTAGATCTTTCCCTTATTCTAATGAACTGTGACCGCATCCTTTGAATTGCTGTGAGGTAGAAGGCTCTGACCTTTCAAATGAAAACTGCAACGTAAGTGCAATAACGTAAGATCTTCCTCATCCCTTCTATAAAGAGTAACGGTAATACCAACTTAATGTAATGCTTAATTAAATGATAATCACCATTCTCCAAAATCTCCTCCTCCTTACCCCACGGCCCCTCTGAATCAGTCACTGTGATCCACACCTAGAGAGCCTTCGAGTGCTACACCGAGTCACGAACACACAACACAATCCATCTTCCTGCCACTTCTACAGAGCCCAACCACCATGACCCGCACAAGCAGGCCCCACGGAAAAGGTTTGTTCCTCCTGTGACTCCTGACTCTCCAAGCTGCTTCCCCTATGCTTTAGCCAACCCTCATCCTCACCCCTGTAACATTTTGGAAGCAAAGCTGCATCTTTATCCCCAGTCACTGCAACACGTACTCATCTAACAGATTCTATGATCTCTTATGGCTGAACAGCTGTGGTAACACGGCTAGCGATCTGGAAACGTCAGAACAAGGTGATATTCTGGGAACGTACTGGGTGAAGCTGTTTCCTAACTCTTCCACCTTCTGAGCTATTTTCAGGCACATTATTTCTCACATAGCGGGCATGGTAGCGATGAGCCCCTTGCAGGGCCACCCCACTGTTGGGGCAGGTGCTCTGGGACACCCGGGACATCACCTTCTCACTACCCTCCCTAAACGGGAGAGCAAACTCCAGGCGTAAGCTTTCAAATATCGCCAGGGGAGGACAAGGGCTTGCTTTAAAGCACACAATTCTTGTTGCCACAGTTCTTTTGGAAGATCTTTTCCTCTCAAAAGCACGCCGTGGAGATGTAAACAGAAAATTAAAAGCAGCATCCCTGGTGCGGATCGGGGTGGTATTTATTATTTAAACGCATGAGTCCTGCCAAGGAGAGTGTCTTCTGGCCAGACACTTGCCTGCGTGTCCACCAAGGAAGTGACAGGGTCCCGGCCCTCCCAAAAGCCCCGACACCCCCTTCCCAGCTCCATCTCAGCCCGGGATGCCCCCTGGGTAGGTGGCAAAGCACCGGTCCCCCTCTACCAGCCCCAGCCTGGCCTTCAAACCGCAGCCGTAGCCCCACCACCCCAAAGCCCCAGTCCCACCCCTGGGAGGGGAGGGGTGGTAGGGTGAGGTACTGGGTTTCTCAGGGGGAAGCACCCACTTTGCACCCCCACAATGAGCTTCAGCCGATGGGTGAATCCCCCCTTCCACAGGGAGAGAAAGCAGCATTTATCTGTTTTTCTTCAATGGAAAGCACAGGTGAGGGCCTGTGCAATTAACGGTGTGTCCCCAAGGGTGCTATGAGGGGGACACAGGGTACCCAGCGCTGCAGGGGGGCTCGCCGGCACTGCCCTGCAGTGATGGAGATAACGGGCTCCAGAATTCAGGATGGAGAAAACTGGCAGGGCAAGAGGGAAAGCACAAGGGTTGCATGGAACTGGAGCCGCTGCACGGGTGAGGGGGGCAGAGCGGGCATAGGGGAGCACAGGAAGCACAGCTGGGGGGGAGGCACGGGAAGCACTGCAACAGTTGGGGGGGGAGTACTGCAGGCACTGCGGAGGGTGCAGAGGAGGCACTGGAATGCAGTGGGTTAGGAAACGGGGGCACAAAGGACACTGCGGGACAGAGGGCATAGAAGCTACTGCGGGGGGGCGGTGGAGGCACGGCAGGGCATGGACGGGATACAGAAGCCACTCTAAGACTCGGGGGGGGGGGGGGGTGCGCGTGTACAGGAGGCATTCTAGGACTGGGGGGCAGAGAAGCTCCTGCAGGCCGGTGGGGCACTGGAGACATTGCAGGACGGAGGGGGCGCAGGAAACATTGCAGGATGAAGGGAAAAGAAAAGTTCCTTTGGGGAGCGGGGAAAGGCATAGGAGACAGTGCAGGCTGGGGGGGGTAACATGAGAGACTGTAGGATGGGGGAGCACCGGGAAGCACTGAAGGATCGGGTGGTACAGGAGACTCTGCAGGACGAGGAGGGTTGAGGCGGGGGAAAGAGACGCCCCTGCGGGCCGGGGGTGCAGAAGAGACATTGCAGGACGGTAGGGGCACGGGAGGCATTCCGGGTTTGGTGGGGGCGGTGGAAAATAAAAGCCCCTTAAGATTGGGGGGGGGGGGGGGGGCACAGAGGCCCCTGCGGGCCGGGGAGCACAGGAAGCATTGCAGGATAGGGGCCACAGGCGGCACTGGGGTGGGAAGCGTCTGCAGGCCGGGAGGCACAGAAGGCACTGCCAGATAAGGGTGCACGGCGAGGCACTTAAGGATGGGGGGCAAGGCACAAGAATCATTGCAGGTTGGGGGGACACAGTGGCCCTGCAGTCTTGGGGTCAGAAAAACGCTTGCAGAAGGCGGGGGGGGGAGGCACAGAGACCCCCCCCGGGCCGGCGAGGGCAGAGGCGGCTCCGCTGGAGGAAACGCGGCGCGGCGGGGCACGGGGGGAGGCATCCCCGGCCAGCGGCGGCGGCGGGAGGGGGTGTCTCACCTTGAATGCCACCGGGAGGGTCTTGTTGCAGCGCCAGTGCGAGGGCAGCACGGAGCAGAGGAAGTTGGGGCTGTCGGTGCGGACCAGCTCGGCGGGGTGGTCAGCGATGATCTCCACCATGGTGCGGTTATCGTGGGGGCGCAGCCTGGGCACGGCGGCCGCCGCTTCTTGCTGCTGTTGCTGCTGCTGCTGCTGCTGGGCTACTACGACCGGGCTGACTTCGCTCATCTTGCCGGGCTGCAGGCTGCTGGAGGGGGGGCTGAACCTCCGGCTGGTGCTGGGATCTACGGGAATACGCATCACAACAGCCACAAGTTAGCGAATTGGGGGGCGGGGGGGAATAGGGGGGAGCGGTAAGGGGGATCGCTGGAGGAGGCGTGTAGTGAGGGGTGGGGGTTATAAAAAATATCTATATAGCGAAAAAAGGGGTGAATGGAAAAGTGGACGGGTGAGAATGAGGGGCAAAAAAGCCACTCGGAAAAAAAAAAAAAGAAAAAAGCGGATTAAACGCACGAAAAAAAAAAAAATCTCAGTCTGTTTTTCTTTTGTTGTTTGTTTTTTTTTAAAGAAAGATGGACGGGGCGGGGGGGGGAGATGATGCCGGGGCGGGCGTCTGCAGCAGCGAGAGAGTGGGTCTGGCCGCGGAGTGCGGGGCTGCCCCTCTCAGCAAAGCCCGGCGGCGAACTGCATGGTCCCGGCTTCTGCCCAGCTGCAAATGCTGCTGCTTCTCCTCCTCCTTCCTTCCTTCTTGCAGAATCTCTGCTCTTTTCCCTCCTAGCCACCGCTTCTTCCCTCAAGTGCTTGAATTTCTTTCCTTTTTCTTCCCCTCCCTCCCCGTCCTCTCCTTTTTTTTTTTTTTTCTTCTCTCTTTTCGGATTTTCAAAAGGTTGTCTTGGGAGAAGTCAAACTCGGAGCTGGTTCAGCTTCCCGGCTTGCTGCTGCCGCCAGAAGAGGAGCGAAACTCCCAAACCCGGCGAGGGGGTGCTCAGGGGAACGTCCCGTTTTCCTCCGAAGAAATCTTCCTCCTCCGGATAAATATTAAAAGGGGAAAAAAAAAGGAGAACGGAGCAAACAAAAAGCCTCGCTGGGACAGAGGCGACGAGTCGCCGCTCTCCCCCGCTTATTGCCTTTGGCTTCAGGAAGCCGAGTGAAGCGGGAGCTCGGGAAGGGGCTTGGGAAAAGGCTCCCCTCCCCAGAAAAAAAAATCGCTCCCGAAGCTATTTCGGCGAGGAAAGCAAGTTACTGGGGTTGTTGGGTGAAGAGGAAAGTCACAGGGCTAGTAATTAAAAGGGAGGCTTTAGCCGGTTCCTTTGGGACGATAGGACTTAAGCTGAACTTTCGAGTCCCAGGGGGAAAAAAAAGGGGACCATAGCTGGAAAAATCAAAACACAAAAACCCAACAAAACACCCCTCCTTAGGCTGATTTCTAATATATGACCAAGTAAATTGTGGGAAAAGGCAGCCTCAGATCAGTCCGGTCCTTTTAATGAAGACGCCTGCTGGATCCTAGTCCGTTGCGTTGAATAGGCGAACAAAAATCTTTCCTTTTTTTTTAACGCCCCTGATGAACAACAGCGGCAAAAAAAAAAAAAAAAAAAATCAGTCAAGTGTCGGTTTGAGTGATTTCTCTTTCTGAAAAATAGGGTTAAAATAAAAAAAAAAAAGCAACCAAAAAACAACAAACTTATTTTGGGTCCCAAGAAGTTGAGGTCGGCGAAGATGAAGGAGCCGAAAGGGAGGAAAAAAAAAAAGGAAAAAAAAAAGCCCGGAGTTTTTTGTCCTGAATGTGGTTTTTGGAGGCTGGGATTTCTAATGATTAGGTTTTTGTGGTTTATATATACAGGACTCGCTGGGTAAGGCGATCATTATGCTGATGAGAGTCAGCAGCACGTGGTGCTCCACTCCTCAGACTTGTGCAGCCTTCAAAATAAATACAACAATGTGCAACCCCCTCAAGGAGCAGAAACCTCGCTTGGAGTCGCTGTCCCGCACGGGGAGGGGGACGGGGACGGGCAGCGGGGGGTAGTAGGAGACAGTCGCTGATCTCCCGTTTCTCTCCGGGTTTTTTCCATTAACACTTTGGGGCTTGTTTTTTAAAAAAAAAACAAACAAAAAAAAAGGCATGAAAAGTCTTGTTTGCAAAAAAAAAAAAAGTAAAAATAATCTGGTGCCAAACGTTTTTTTTTGTGTGGGTTTTTTTTTCCCTCCTAAGTCTCTGCTAGTCTAAAGCCTAAACCATTTCCTTGAATGAATGAAAGCTATAAAACCCCCTTCAGACTATTAAGGTGAAGGGAGTCTGGTTTGTTTTCTCCCTTAAAAAAAAAAAAAAAAAGGCAGATCTTATTAAAAACAATTTACATACCCAATAGTAAAAAAGTGTAAACGCCTCCCAGCGCAGATAAGGACCTATCACAACCCTCCGTCTAATTTCTAAGGCTTTACTTCTACTTGCTACTTCCACCTTCTTGTAAAAAGTCGGCGCTGCGTGTGTGCTCCTTGCTCGCCGCCTGTGTGTGACTCGGGGCGGTGTGTCTGTCTGTGGCGGGGTGGGGAGGGGGGGGAATGCGTCGTTTTTACGGAGCTTTTGCAAACCCTAACCCCGGCACGCAGACCCAGCCGAAAAGCCAGGTTTGTCCCGCCTGCCCCTCCGCGAACAGCCCCGGGACATGGGCACGGGGAGGGGGTGTGGGTCAAGAGACACATCGCAGCTGTTTCCGCGTTCTGCGGAGCCTCCGCGCCCTCCGCCGGCGCTACCCCAGCCGCCTTCATCACCCCCCACCCCCCCAGACGAGAGCCTCTCCGAGAGCAACCCCCATGGGGGAAGGTAGGCGCCCGGGCAGCAGTCCGCATGCAGCGCTGCTCCTTCCGCATTTCATATGAAAGAATAAGAAAAAAAGATCTGACGTTCGGTCACAGGGGAGAGCTCTCGCTCCGCGCACCGCGGCTGCCGCCTCCGCTCCGCGCCCGCCGCGACGCGCTGGGACCCAGGGGTCCCGCCTCAGCGTTCCTGCTCCCTCTCCTCTGCCCTTCCCACGGTTAAAAAAGGGAGTAACAGCCCCGACTCACTGCCCCGCAGGGACCTGTGTCCGCCTCTTCTGTTTTTCTCTATTTTTCTTAATTTTTCCTTCATTCCCCCCCCCCCCCTTTTTTTTTTCTCTCTTTTTTTTTTTTTTTTAAATTTTATTTTTCCTTTTCCTGGTCCAGTGTTGGAGGGCCTGTAGAAGTTTCCCACCCCGTTGTGAAAATGCAGTCACTTTGGCTAACACCACAAACCCCTCCTGTGCTCACCCTGCTTCTCTTACAACCATAGGGATCTGCTTTTCCCCCCCAAAGCAAGCCACAGGCATTCCCAAAGGACAATTACTGGGATATTCAGAAGCTCTGAATTGCTATAGTTTCCTTACATAAAACATTTTTTTTTTTTTTTACAAATATTTTGGTAAAATGTTTACGACCATAGGTTCTCTTGGCTTTCCCCAGCTTTTAGCTGGATGGGGAAACACATTCCATTAGAGCCATTCCAAAGGTGCTAGAAAGAAGGCAAGAGGTTGTCTTCTGTCCAAATACTATATAAGCCTGACAATCATGATTTATTTCAAACAAGAAGATACATTTCCACTTTTAATTAGTCACACTAAAAGTTTTACAGTCACCTCTCTTCCTACTAAAATAAAAATTTAATTAGGATAAACGAAAATAAGTTATTGGAAGGCACCAGTTTAAGGTCACTTAAAATAGTCCATGGTTATTTAGAATGTCGAAATAAAATTTTCCACTGAACGCACTAACAAAGTTTCAGGTATCTGGCACAGCTGATTTTCAGTCTCCGTGCAAAAATATCTTCCTGCTGAACATTTACACGTTTAACAGGAACTTACTACAAGCCTGGAACAGAACGCAGCTCAGAGCACCAGAGTTTTATTTCAATGGTTATGGACAAATTAATAATAGTATCAGGAACATTTATGGACCTGCATAAAAGCTGGATGGGGTTTTCCAGCAAAAATAATTTGTGTTATGATATATATAATCTGGAACGTTGGCTTGGATTTGGCTGAAATGGAGAGAAACCCTGCTGCTCGGCTTTCCTCGGGTTTTATTTCAGAACTTCTCGGAATTTTAGCCCTAGTTGCAAAATGGGTCATATTTTAAGATGTTAGAGAATTGTAGGAGGTTAGTGAAAAAATGTGCTTGCACTGCAAATTACATTTTAGCAAACACCTTTGGATCCTCTTTATAAACCAGGATTTTCATTAGTACGGCTGTATTTGCTTCAGTTGTCCTTCAGCCTTTTCACTTTTAACTCTGTTGTGAATACAGCTGTAATGAGGTTGCTTTTGGACCAAAAAGTAATGTTTTAAACACCCCTGAGCTTGTTTACCGTTAACATTTATCAAACATGGGCCCAACATACTGCTGTCGTAAGCATCGTATGCTCAAGATGAAAAATAATTGCCAGATTTGAAAGATTCTAACCTGGATGAAGTTCCCTAAACAAATAGTTTCGATGACAGTTTGTTGGGCTGGGATGTGCTGTAAATATGACGACTACAGAATATATTTTGAGCTTCTCTATGTATGTAAATAGCCTTTGTGAAACAAGAGTAAATGAATGGGTTCACTAGGTTTGTTATTGTATTGGATATTTTTAGTCAGAGCGACTACAGCAATGTCAGCAATTATTACTATAGTTAAGGACTTGCCAATATTCTCTTTCCAACATCTACCTTCCCAAAGTTTTTTATGCATTTGTGAATGCGTGCATCGAGCCAAAATGTGTGAATTTAAATCAGCTTAATGCTAGGGAAGGTTTTGCCCAAATTTCCATTCATTTCAGTAGGGGCAAGATAAGCCCCAGTGTCTCTTGGCAGTGCTTTACTTTTGCTCTGGTTGTAAATTGACTGCTTGCCCAGCTATTCTTTGCTTTTTCTTAAGTATGACAAATAGTAACTCTAGATTAGCACATTATTTGGTCCGTTAAGTAGTCATGTGGTAATGAGTTCTGTAACTACAGCATTCATAGTCTACGGACTACTGTAGTTTAACTCCTGCCTCCCTGCCCCACTGATTTACAACCCAGATAAAAGAAGATTCTTTGTGTCCCAGAATTAGTCGAAAGGATTTAATATTTCAGCACCATGCACTACTTTTTAGTGTTTTAGTTCCTGATACAAACATAAGCATAAAGATGTAAAAGTCTGTAAGATGATTACATGAAAAAGAAATCAATCTTGAGAATATGACTTTTCCCCACAGTATTTTCAGGAGGATGTGAGGACGGAGAGCCGAGACTCTTGCGTTCTGCCTCGGGATTTGATGCTGATTTGCTCTGTGATTTCAGGCAAGCCTTTTAGCAAGTCTTCCTTCAGTATAAAATGGAGTACTAACTATTACCATATACCTTTTGAGATATAAAAGTACGTGTTCGATTCTCAGAAATCCAGAGATTAGCAGGGCTCTGCACCCAGTAATGCCAGGAGAAGAGTTCTCAATGCTGGTAAGAAACCTGCTGTGTCACTACTGAAAAAGAGTTGGCTTTTCTGTGGCACACAGTGAAATGCATGTTACGCAAACAACAAAGTAAATAGTTACTGCTTCTGATTTTTTTTTTTCCCCTAAATGATGTATTTTCTGCTTCTCTAATAAGCATGGACTGCAAGCCAAGGTCTCAGTCCTACTGTAGGGTTCTCCCATTTCCCTCCCTGTCTGCAGCCTTTTATGCCCCATTGGAACTAAATTTATTTCAATGAGGTTTAAAGCAGCAAATGACTATGTCATCATTGCGGAGGAAAGAACCGTGGGCCTACTTGTCATATTACAACAGCATTTGAAAGGGAAAAGTATGGCCTGTGTTTTCTGGCAGTAAAAATGTGAATGTGTAGTACATTAGGGAAATATACGGCCTGGCTTTTTCAAGTAAATTTTGTATTTTTTCTTTTTTTTTTTTTTTTTTAATGCTTGCAGCATGCAAACTAAAAATTAACTGTAGAATGTTGTTGGGGTTCTCATAGTTAGGGACAAACGTTTTTTTTCACTGCAAGACTGACTTTGTCCCTTTCCATTCATCTTCCTCCCAGCTTCTGTGTAACTAGTTTTAGAATGAGGAAAAGGTGGTGTTTTTCTCCCTGAATAAATTCAGATAAAATCATCACATTGTTCTAGAAATATAAAGGCTAGAAAATGAGAGCTTAAATGTTCTTGTTTTTTCTTTACTTCATTCAGCACATATAAAACCAGCATGAGCCAGAAACTTCACGGTTATTTTTTCTGTTGACCTCAATGAAAACTGGTTCCCTTGACTAACTGTAGGGAAAGTGGGTGGTATAACTGTTTGTAATTAAAAAGGGTTTATACATTTGGATCCTTGCAGAGTTCCTAAATTTTGCATGCTGCTTTTTAAGGGACTAATGAAGTGCACTCTGTCCAGATACAAGCTCCATAAAGCTCACACAGAAGATACTACAAGATCTAAGTCAGCCTCGAGTAGGAGAGGTTGTTTTTAATGCTCCCAACCACAAGCTCACCACCAAGTCCTTACATTTACTCCCTCAGTGTTGCAACAGTGAGGATTCCCATTGCAAATTCTCAATAGCATGAATGGCAGAAAAAAAACCCAGGCACGTTCTTTGTTAACAAGGTGAGTTTTAAAGCTGAAGCAATAGAAAAAAAGTAAATAGTAATAGACTTGTTCTAAAAAGGATGAAAACATACAGCACTGAAAGAGGTGGTGCAG